AATAAACCTTTAGATTTTAGATTCTAAAGGATTGGCAACAGTGCGATATGTGGGTAAGATCTGATTTGTGTATTGACCGGGGTCTGGGGCTTGGTCCTTTGGGATTGAGAGAACCTTTTTTCTTTTACTGGGGTGTTGGTTTTCATAACCATTTGTCCCCAAAATGAGTGGCCCTGGTGGTGATACTGGGAAACTGGAGTGTCTAAGGGAATTGCTTGTGTGACTTTCTGTTAGCCAGTGGGGTAAAACCAAAGTCCTCTCTCTTTGGCTGGTTTGGTTTGCCTTAACAGTAAAGGAACCCCAGCCTTGCCCGGCTTTAAGCAATTTGTCCTGAACTGGCTCTCTCAGTTGTGTCCCGCCAGAACCAGCATCATTACAGGCATGCTCAGGGGAAGAGGCGGAGAAGAGGAGGGGCAGGGGCGGGGACTTGGGGAAAAGGGGTGGAATGGGGTGGAGAGGGGGCGGGGCTGGGGTGGGAAAAGGTGGGGAGGGGCAGGGACTTTGGGGAAGTGGTGGAATGGGGGCGGGGCAAGGGCAGTGCAGGGGCGGGAAGAGGCGGTGCAGGGGCGGGGCCAGAGGGCAGGAGTGTTGAGCAACCACAGGGCAGAGGGGAAGTCAACACCTATGCATTTGATCATTCCTAAAAAAGGTTATAACCATTGATTTTAACATTCCAATCATGGGAATCTTCCCACCAAGTTTCAGTAATACCAACTAACTCAGATTTATGCTCATAAATGAACAATTCCAATTCCTCTTGTTTGTTACCCTGGCTACTATCATTGGTGTACAGGCAATTCAAGAATTTCCTGTCTTTATGTCCTGTGGTTCCTTGATTGTTTTTTTTTTTTCTCAACATCTCATTTTTGTATAGATTGAGTGCTCAGATCTTTCCTCTTTTTACCCTCCCATTCTGTTATTAGTTTAATGCCCTGCTGAATACTGTAGCCAGCCTGTCCCCAAGAACTTTGGGCCTCCTTCTATGGGATACTCTGATGTGGGGCTCCTCAGTCCCTCCTGTTCAAGCTGTTCCACTGTGGATAAATCTATAGAAGAAGGTTCCAGGATTGTCACTCTGTCTGTGTCTTGCTCTGAAGCCTGGAATGTCTGTACAATCAACGTGACACACTAGAAATAGCTACAAGCATGGCTGGGGGCTCTTTTTGTTCAGAGTATCACCAGGTTCAATCATTACTGGGGTTTGCAGCATGACACTGCCCACTAGTTAAGTGCTCAGTGATTTTCAACTCATAAATTTTCCCTTATTTAAAATGGCCACCATCAGCTCTTACTGTCAGCCTGGGGGTGGGGAGGTGGTGCAGAAGGGGATCCTTTCTGAGCAGCCAGAGAAGGTAGTGTGGCCAGCTCTGAGGAACTGATCATGAATCACAGGATCTTGGCACGTGCAGGAGAAGCTGTCACAATGACACCAAAAGCTCCTCTGATTCTCTGGTTTTCCGGCATGTTGGCAGGGCTAGAGCCCTGCCCTGCCACTCCCTGAGCCCTACCTGCATGTATGGCCCAGAGCAAAGAGAAGGTCCTTGGGCAGTGGGAGGCAGGAGAGGGGGGAATTGGCAAAGTGGTGCTGCTGAGAGCTGGGAAGAGGAGAAGCCCCCAGGGAGCAGGAAGCAGGGAAGTGCTGCTGTTTGATCCCATGGAGAGATGCCCCAGAGCAGCAGGAGGGAGAGACGTGTTTCTGCTGGGTCTGGACACTACTAGGGAATGGCGGCAGTTCCCCTCTGCTAGGGGTGAGGAAAGGGCAATTGGAGTCTCCAGCTGAGCAGCCAGGAAGAGGCCTGCATTTTTGTGTACATTAAAGTTTGACTTTTCAGCAGAGGATTAGAGGGCAGTTACAATGTCCAAAGCCAGACTATGATGAACGCAGTAAGTACGGTATAAGTGCAGAACTACACTGAGCCTGCGGAAACAGATCTTGGTTCAAAACTGTGTGAAAACATGGACAATCATCCTTAGTAATCTAAGAGACAACTGGGAGGTGGGAGTGTTTGAGTTAGGTCATAGGAGTCAAAGCTGTCACATGTGCCTGCATTGCAATTTGACAATGTGCATGTTTCGCATTCACAGTCTCTCTCTGTTTATTGCCGCATGTTTTCTCCCAGCAGTCACTGTTACTTCACCTGGCTTTACGAATTACAGCCAGGCAACACAACAGGCTTTCAGCTAGTAATTAAGTAATCATTGGTGCAGGGGGAATGGACCCTGGGTCTCCCATCTCCTAGTGGGTGCCCTAACCATGGGACTATAGAATCATTCTCCTTCTCTCTGACCCGGTGACTAAGTATTTATACACAGTGGAACAACTTCAGCAGGAGGGGCTGAGGGAGCTCATACCAGAGTATCCTGTGCTCTGGTGGTTAACGCATGCTACTAAGATGTGCAGGAGACCCCTGTTCAAATCCTCTCTCTGTCAAGAAGAAGGGGGGAAGTGAACTTGGGTCTCCTGCAGCCGGGGTGAGTGTCCCAACCACTGGGCTAACAGTTAGAAGGCACTGTCTCCTCCCTCTGGATTCTGAATGGGACCTGATCTAGCAGGCATGTTCGAGTGTGTATCCTGGACTGGGCCCTGCAGCAAGAAGGTAAGAAGGTGCTTCTCTGCCTGTCCTGTCCCAGTTTGTGGATTGCGCTGGGGCTCAGGCATCCACATGCCTAGGGTGAGGCAGCCTGTGAATGACCAGACACAGACATGTAGGCGCCTAGGAGGACTTGTGGATCTCAGTGGGCCTTAAAAGTGAGACTCAGACACCTATGTAACTTTGGGGATCGGGGATCAGGAACTTGAGAGTTCCTGCTCTAGGGGGCCCCTGTGGAGTAAGTAACATGAATAGAGTTAGCATGGCATTTTCCTTGGCTTGACTGACACAGCACATGTCTTCCCCTTCACTGAGGTGTCTGGGCTTCCTTGCTCCTCCTCTTTTAGGATATGTCTGCACTTCCAGCTGGAGGGGTAAATTCAACCTCAAGGAGACACACCTGCACTAGTTCTGATAGCATTAGCACACTAAAAGTAGTGTGTAGCCATAGCAGCAGAAGAGGCTAGCCACCCACGTACATACCTAGCGTCTTAGACAGGTACTTACCTGGGGCTGCTAGCCCGTTGCACCACTCAAATCTCTGTGACTACACCTTATATGTAGCACACTAGCTCAATCAATGTGTACGGGTATGTCTCCTGGACATAGCGTAAGTGGCCATGGGAGGTTCCTGGCTGAGTGAGACCCCGTCAGATTGACAGGCAATAATGCCTTTTAAACGGTAAGTGTTTAACTTCAGTTCGTTCTTATGCTTGTTCCACTAGGATTTAAAGGCACCTAAATGTCTACTTACATCATTTCAATTATTTATAATTAAATTATTTAAATGAAAATTATTATTTTGATAGCATGCCTATCACTGTAGCAGAGCAACTGATCCCATGGTAAGAGGAGAGAATAGGAGTAATAAGAATATAGGTGTTAATTAAAGAAAGACAAAACATTCACATGGCGTGATGCATATTCATAACGTGTACAAATGAGAGAATTCCATCGTTAGGATAAAATGTCCAGATTTCTGGACCTTCAGCCTTAACAAATAGAGTTGGGTCAAACAGGCGCTGTTAAGGGAGTGGATTAGCTGACTGCTTTCCCATACAAATACTGTCGGTCAGAATTTCAATCAGGGCTCAAGCTGTTGGAGTGTCTGTCAGGCATCTCTCGGGCATGAAGAACAAGGGGTATCCTCTGCAATACAAGTTCCAGGACAACTTAGAGGAGGACATGGATTGTCATTGCTACAGAGGGTATCTGACAGATGTGGGACTTACTCCAGGGTCTGCTGTCCTCGGAATCCAGAACTGCATTCACTTTGCCAGTGTCGATTCTTCCACACCTGCTATTCCCTATACATTGCCACTGTCCACTAAGGTACTCATAAAGCCCCATCACTGGAGTATCAGAGAATCTCAGTCTTAAGGCCAAGGTCCCCTCAGGTCACCTAACTCCCATTGAAATGGGAGCCCTGGTCTCCCACAGATTGAAGAATTGCAGGGCAAGTCCTGCTCAGCCCAGAATACGTTTCCAGTTTTGGTTCTCCCTATGTCCTGTGTGTTTGTTGTTGGGGTGAGGATGTGGAGGAGAGTAAGGTGGGGTGAGGATGTGGAGGAGAGTAAGGTGGAGCTAAGAGCACACAGACCCTGCTTCATGTGCTCCTGGACTAGCCCTGCAGTAGGGGAAGGGAAGGTGGGTGCTGGGCAAGGAGCTGTAAACTTTTGAATCTGGCAAATTAACAGGAGCTGAGTCATAGCTAAAGGGGCAGCGTCTGAGAGTATGTGAAGGGCTCCTGCTCTCCTCTGCAAGTGAGATGATGAGACATAGCCTGAACCATATTCTTTCCACTCCCCTTTGTTTTCTGTTGTCACAGATATGGGAATTTGCTGTACTAACCTGAACAAACGTTACTGAATTACGTTTAAGTAGCTTTGGAGTCCATTGCTTTAAAAAATGCAAAGACTATCTATTATTGTGAGATTGTATGCAGCTTCTCTAGGAGGGAAGTGTTCTGAGCTTCAAAGGACTCCTTCAAACGATGTGCCAGACAAGAATGGTCTTTGGGGACAATGTGTGTGAAGTGGAATTCCTCGGAAGTATCTAGGGGGAGGTGAATGCAAATACCTTCCCCGTTTATGCAAAGACCCAACCTTTTGAAGCTACTCCCTGAGGAGAGAACCATTGTCTATGATTTACCCATTCCCAGATTAAAGTCCAAGGCTGTATAGGGGAGGGAATAAACATTTCATGAGCGTGCTTGTTCTGAGGAAAAGGTGTTAAGAATTTGTAACTACAGGAAAATCCCTGTGTGGGGTTTGAAGGACTAACCCCGCCAGAGCCATTATTGGTATAATTATTAGCATGTGTGTTTGCTCTTTTATCTAGAACACAGGAAAATCTGAAATGAGCCCTATGGCACAAGTGAAGGCAAAATACGATATATTGTTTTTTTACCATGGGGAGCTTCTTCGTCTGCTGCCTGCTGTTTTCTCACCATATTTTTTCTGAAATATTAATGGAAAAACAGCACCATTTAGAAATTTATAATCACCTAGAAGTGTAGCAAATACAAATGGAGAGCTAGAACACACAGTATCTCCTTACATACATTTGTGCAGTATTGATCACCAGAAATTGAGAAGGATTTGGTGGGAGAATCAAAGGTTGTCTGAAGAGTATTTTTTTCTCTCTCTCCTTTTTTTTATTTAGTTATTTTTACGATGTTGAGGGGCTCAGGAATCCTGCCCTCATGGAATTATTTAAATATTGTGTGAAAATTCTGCATGGAGACCGTGAAGGTTAATCAAAGCCCTGACTGAGCTTGTTTTGGTTCTTCCAGGCCATCGGGGACCCATGAAATCAGTTGCCCCTTCTGCATAAAGTCTGAACACAAAGAGATGGGGAAGTACAAGTGGAGCCCTTCACACTGCTACAATGATTGTTGACCTCTAGTTCAGAGCTACTGTACAATGAAAAACACATGGAAAAGTGTGTGTGCGGGGGACATTTCAAACTCATCTAGGTGGCTTAAGAATCAATGGGACTTGTGCTTCTAAGTCACATGCCAGGATTTTCAAAAGTGACTCGTTAATTTAGATCAGGGGTCTGCAACCTATGGCACGCGAGCCAATTTTTAATGGCACGTTGCGGACCCTGGCAGTCAGCAGCATGCCATTAAAAATCCTGCCTGGGCCAGCTTGGCCCGCTCTTCTCCACCCCCCACCCCCGGCTCTCTCTGTGCAGGGCAGGCAAGCTTCCCCCTCCCCCCGCCTCTTCCCCCAGCTTGCCGGGTTCCCGCCCCTCCTCCTCTCCCTCCCTGCCGCCGATCAGCTAACGGCCCTTGCTATGGAGGGGGAGAGGGAAAAGTGAAACTAGACCTTGGGGAAGGGGGTGGAATCGGCATATCCCCTCCAGCGCCCTGCCATGAGCCGCTCAGGGCAGGGGGCTAAGAACACACCCCCAACCCCAGGCCACCCCCCCCAGCCCTCTGCCCTGACCCCTGCACCCGCCTCACATACCCCCAGCCCTGTGCCCTGACCCCTGCACCCTCCTCACACCCACCCAGCCCTCTGCCCTCAGCCCTGTACCCCCCTCACACCCCAGCCCCGTGCCCTGACCCCTGCACCCCCCACAACCCCAGCCCTGACTCCGGCATCCCCCCACATAACCAGCCCCCCTGCCCTGACTCCTGCACCCTCCTCACACACCCCCAGCCCCCTGCCCTGAATCCTGCACCCCCCCACACCACCACCACCCCGAGCACCAAACAGGAGCTCCTGCACACACACACACCCACATTCCCACCCGCACCCCTCGCACCAACTGGGAGCTGCCCAGGTAAGTGCTCCACACCCAAACCTCCTGCCCCAACCCTGAGCCCCCTCCCTCATTCTAGCTCCTGGCCAGACCCTGCACCCCAACGCCCAGCCTGCTCCTTCACCCCCGTCCTGTGCTCAGTGCACTCCCACCCCCAGCTCAGTGCAGAGAGAGGAGGAGAATGGCTAGAACCAGGGAGAAGGTAGGTACCTACTCTGTGTGGACAGGGCCGGGATCCCAGACCGGCGGCAGGCTGAGTGGAGCCGGCAGCCAGGACTGTGGCTGGCAGGAGCCGGCGGACGGAACCCCAGACCGGAAGTGGGCTGAGCTCAGGCCACTGCCAGTCTCGGGTTCTGGCCGCCGGCCCCTTGCCAGCCGGGGTCCCGGCCGCAAGCCTCACTCAGCCTGCTGTCGGCCTAGGTGAACGGAACCCCAGGCTGGCAGCAGGCTGAGCGGGCCAGGGTGTAAGATCAGCATTTTAATTTAATTTTAAATGAAGCTTTTTAAACATTTTGAAAACCTTGTTTACTTTGCATATGACAATAGTTTAGTTATATAATATATAGACTTATAGCGAGAGACCTTCCAAAAAACGTTAAAATGTATCACTGGCACGCAAAACCTTAGATTAGAGTGAATAAATGAAGACTCGGCACACCACTTCCGAAAGGTTGCTGACCCCTGATTTAGATGCTTATATTTTTGGGTGTACACCTAAGACACCTTGAAGGGGACAGATTTTCAGAGAGCGGGTGCTCAATAATTTCTGCAAATCAGGCACCTTTTAGGGATCTCAAGTAGGGCCCTCAAAACTGAGGCATCAAAATTCAAACTGGAGGGCTACTTCAAGCAGAGAAGGGCTACTAGGATGATCCGAGGAATGGAAAACCTACTTTATGATAAAAGTGGCAAAATGTCCTGTGCACCTTATAGACTAACAGACGTATTGGAGCATAAGCTTTCGTGGGTGAACACATGACATGCATCCAACAAAGTGGGTATTCACCCACGAGAGCTCATGCTCCAATACGTCTGTTAGTCTACAAGGTGCCACAGGACTCTTTGCCACTTTCACAGATCCAGACTAACACGGCTACCCCTCTGATACTACTTTATGATAGAAGTCTCAGGGAGCTTCGCTTGTTTAGCCTAACCAAGCACAGGCTGAGGGGAAATATGATCACTCTCTACAAATACATCAGGGGGACAAACCAGGGAGAGAGAGGAGTTATTTAGGTTAAGTGCCAATGTGGACACAAGAACAAACTGGCCACCCACAAGTTTAGACTTGAAATTAGATGAAGGTTTCTGACCATCAGAGGAGTGAAGTTCTGGAACAGCCTCCCAAGGGGAGCAAGTGGGGGCAAAAAACCTAACTGGCTTCAAGACTGAGCTTGATATATTTATGGAGGGGACAGTGTGATGGGACTGCCTACAATGGCATGTGGCCCAACAGTGACTGCCAGTAGCAAAAATCCACGTCAGAGATGGGGCACTAGATGAGGAGAACTCTGAGTTACTACAGAGAATTCTTTCCCAGGTATCTACCCTGGCAGGTCTTGCCCACATGCTCAGGGTCTAACCAATTGCTGTATTTGAGGTTTGTAAAGAATTTTCCTCTGGATCAGATTGGCAGACCCTGGGAGGTTTACACTTTCCTCTGCAGCATGAAGCATGAGTCGCTTGCAGGTTTAAACTGGTGTAAATGGTGAATTCTCTGTCACTTAAGTCTTTAAACCATGATTTGAGAACTTCTATAACTCAGCCAGGGGTTCGGGGTCTATTACAGGAGTGGGTGGGTGAGGTTCTATGGCCTATGTTGTGCAGGAGGTCAGACTAGATGATCACGATGGTCCCTTCTGATCTAAAGACTATGAGTCTAACTCTCCAGTCATTTTGAAGAATCTTAGCTTTAGGCACTTTTGAAATAATTCATATAGAAACTGAGAAAAACTGAGAAAAAAAGTATTAAAAGGGATAACATTTTTAAAAAGAGAAATTTGTCTAAGGTACAGTAATAATTAAAGAGAGGCTAATAGAAAAAGGTTAAGGATTAATAATAATGGTAATAGTTAAAAGTTAATAATTAGCAAAGAACACTCTGAGGTGGATAAAAAAAGATTTGCATGAACTGTGCATTATCTAAACTGAATGAACAATGAGAGGAAAATGTCTTCTCTGTAATTCTATGTGAGTAGGAAACAGAGCCAGTTCCAGAGGCACGAAATAAATCAAGCTGACCACACCCTACTTCAAAACAATTTAATTGTTAAATTAATGTAACAAATGGGCTCAGTGACCAATATGTCTTTTAACACAGCCAAATATAGTGTCACCCATTCATAAAAAAAGAATGCAAGTCCCAGTTGAAAGAGGGGGATTGTATCCAGGACAGCAGTGACTCTGAGACAGGTGTAGGGGTGCCCTAGTGCCCTAACCAGGAGATGTCACACTAAGATTAAATAGGTTTTGTAGTCAAAGAGGAAAGGATCCATTGGTGGTGGTTCAGATTGGCACTAATGACACTGCATTGAGGGATATCTTGCAGATAGTGAATGACTTTAGGGATCTCCGAAGCATGTTGAAGAAGAATGTCCAAGCGATCTTCCGCGAGATCCTTCTTGTTCCACAAGCAAAGGAAGACAGAAGGCAGAAGTTTATGGAAGTGAACCACTGGCTAGGTAAGTGATGTAGGGCGAAAGATTTTGATATTGTGGAATACATTGCTCCACCTTCTATGGGGTGTGGAGATTGTATAGTTTGGATGGCCTACACCTCCATAGAAAAGGGACCAATTTTCTCAGGACAGGTTGGTTACAGTAGTCAGGAGGGCATTAAACCATCAATAGAACAAGAGGGTAAGAAGAGGAAAGATGAGTACTCATCACAGAATTAATATCTTGAGAACAAAAATAATCAAGGAACCAAAGGACATGAAGAAAAACATTCTTGACTTGCCTATACACTAATGGTAGGAGCATAAGTAACAAACAAAAGGAACTGGAATAGTTCATTTATGACCATAAATTCTATCTAGTTGGTATTACTAAAGCCTGAGAGATGATTTCCATGATTGGAATATTAGCATAAATCATTATATCCTATTTAGGAAGGATTGAGTGCAAATGGAGAGTGGGAGTGATAGGATGAAATATTGCATTACCTGTTTATGATCTTGAATGCTTGTGGATCAATGTCCTAAGAGATAAAAAGCACAAGATAAGGTATTAGTTGGTGTCTGCTACTAGCCACCAGATCACACTAGGGAACAGGATAACTGGCTCCTTATGCACCTGTCTATAATGTGTAGGAAAAAACCTGCATGATCACGGGGGACTTCACTCTGAATGACAAATGCTGGAGGTCTCACGCTGCCAGTACTAAAACACCCTTGGAATTTCTAAATATTATACCTGACAATTTCCGAATTCAAAGAGTGGTGCAGAAAGTGTAGTGGGGAATTCTACATTAGCCCTCATCTTGGTGGATAAAGACGAACTGATCACACAACTGAATATTTATAGTAACTTGGGTACAAACGCTCATGACATTTATAATGTAGAAACCGAATAAAATCCAGACCAGTGATATATATACTTGGTGCTTTAAAAAGGCCAATTTCACAAAGCTGATAACAATTAGAGCCAATGCAGCTGGAAGGAAGAATTTAATCAGAAAAAAATGTGAATAATAATTAGGAATTGTTTAAGAACGCTTTACTAGAAGCCCAAAAAGCCACAATCAAGGAAGAAAGCCATATTGGTTAAAATGCCAACCTGGTTTAGAGGGCAAGTGAAGCAGCTATACAAATAATAATAAAGGGGAAGTTGATAGTAATCAATATAAGGCCTAGTCTACGCTGCACAGCTTTGTTGACAAAAGAGTAGAGGGTTACACACTGAAATGCTCCTCTCACCAATGTATCTCCTCTGCTAGGCCGACATAATAAAGCCATCTCAAAGAGAGGCTTATGTTGGTGGAGTTAGGGTGAGGCAGTGTTTGTGTAGAGACTGCATTCCTTACATCAGCTGTTGGCTGTCATTCTTCTGTGAAATTGACAAGAAAGTCAGGTAGCTAGAGCCCAAATGACCCCCGCTCCTCTGGGGAGCTGGACCCCACTCATGGCTAGGAGCTGGAAAGAGAAGCCCAAATGGATGGACCCTACTCCCGGCTGGGGGTCAGAAGCCCAGGTGGCTGGACCCCACTCCTGGCTAACAGCCGGGGAGAGAAGACATGGCTCTGGAGCCAATTGACAAGGCTGTCCAGCAGTGAGCGGGTGTGGGGATAAAAGACTGGAGCAGCTGGACCCTGTTCCCTCGGGGCAAGAAGCACTGGGCAGCTTCCCACCCCTGCTCCCATTAGGGAACAGGGAGGTGAGAAGCACTGGACATCTTCACCCCCACACTCCTGGCAGGGAATGCGGAGACAAGAAACCGGGGTGACTTCTCCCCACTCCCAACAGGGAACAGGGAGCTGGATGGAGGAGGCAGATTGCTGGGAGCCTGTGGGGCAGCCAGGCAGGGAGCTGTTAGCGGAGCTGAGAGACTGGGGTCTCAGCTCCTGTCAAGGTTCCTTCCCCATTCTGAACTCTAGGGTACATATGTGGGGACCCGCATGAAAAACCTCTAAGCTTATTTTTACCAGCTTAGGTTAAAACTTCCCCAAGGTACAAACTATTTTACCTTTTGCCCTTGGACTTTATTGCTGCCACCACCAAGCGTCTAACAAATATATAACAGGGAAAGAGCCTGCTTAGAAATGTCTTTCCCCCGCCACCAAAAATCCTCCCCAACCCCTACAACCCCTTTCCTGGGGAAGGCTTGATAAAAATCCTCACCAATTTGCATAGGTGAACACAGACCCAAACCCTTGGAACTTAAGAACAATGAAAAAGCAATCAGGTTCTTAAAAGAAGAATTTTAACTGAAGAAAAAAAGTAAAAGAATCACCTCTGTAAAATCAGGATGGTAAATATCTTACAGGGTAATCAGATTCAAAACATAGAGAATCCCTCTAGGCAAAACCTTAAGTTACAAAAAGACACAAAAACAGGAATATACATTACATTCAGCACAGCTTATTTTATCAGCCATTTAAACAAACCAGAATCTAACACATATCTAGCTAGATTACTTACTAAGTTCTAAGACTCCATTCCTTTTCTGTTCCTGGCAAAACAACACACAGACAGAGAGAGCCTTTGTTTCTCCCCTCCTCCAGCTTTGAAAGTATCTTGTCTCCTTATTGGTCATTTTGGTCAGGTGCCAGCGAGGTTATCCTAGCTTTTTAACCCTTTACAGGTTAAAGGGTTTTTCCTCTGGCCAGGAGGGATTTTAAAGGTGTTTACCCTTCCCTTTATATTTATTACAGATCCCCCCACTGTCCCTGTTAGGTTGGTGGAAGTGCTCCTGGTGAGGACACACACCACTGATCCAAGGAAGGTATTGTGGACATCAGCCACCACAGAAATTATTGCAGTGACTGTAAGTCAACTGTAAGTCATAAGTCAACTTATAAGTCGACCTAACATAAGTCAACTTATCTTTGTAGTGTAGACAAGGTCTAATTCAGAAACTAGGAGTGGAAGAAAATTGATAAGGGAAGCAAAGGGACACAAGGAAAAATCTGTGGTCAACAGAGTTAGTCAATAACAAGGAAATTATAAATTATATGGGGGCAAAAGAATGCTAACAATGGTATTAGTCATTACTAGATGTGAATGGTAGAATTATCAGTAATGGTGGTGAAAGGGCAGGAGTTTTCAACAATATTTCTGTTCTGGCACTGGAGAAAAAAAATCATGTCATTTGATAAGACTCTGTCCATTCCATAGTATCTCAGGAGGCTGTTAAACAGCAGCTACTAAAGTCAAACATTTTTAAATCAGCAAATCTTGATAACTTGCAACCACGAGTTTTAAAAGAGCTGGCAGAGGAGCTAATTGAAAAATTGATATTGATTTTCAGTAAGTGTTAGAACATTGGGAATTTCCAGAAGACTGGAAGAAACTAATGCTGTATCAGTATTAAAAACAGTAAAAGGGATGACCCAAATAGTTATGCGTCTGTCAGTCTGATGTTTATCCCAGGTGAAGCCATAGAGTGGCTGATATGGGACTCGATTAATAAAAAATTAAAAGAGGGTAATATAATTAAGACCAATGTACATGCATTTATGGAAAATAGATCCTCTTAAAGTAAGTTGGTATCTTTTTTATGAGATTACAAGTTTGGATGATAAAGATAACAGGGTCGATATAGTATTCTTACATTTCCATACTTGATACCGCACAGCGTTTTGATTAAGAAACTAGAATGATGCAAAATTAAAACAGCAGACATTAAATGGATTGAAAACTAGCATCCACATTTCAAGAAGGATGTTGAAAGATTGTAGAGTGTTCAGAGCAGAGCCACGAGAATGATTAAAGGATTAGAAAACCTGCGTTAGAGTGAGAAACTCAAGGTCAATCTGCTTATCTTAACAAAGAGAATGTGAAGAGGTGACTCGATCATAGCCTCTAAGTACCGATGTGGGGAACAAAAATTTGATAGAGGGATCTTTAATCTAGCAGACAAAGGTATAAAAATATCTAATGGCGGGATGTTTGAGCAAGACAAATTCAGTCCGGAAATAAGGCACACGTTTACAATAGAGAAAAGGAGGACTTGTGGCACCTTAGAGACTAACCAATTTATTAGAGCATGAGCTTTCGTGAGCTACAGCTCACTTCCTCAGATGCATATCGTGGAAACTGCAGCAGGCTTTATATATACACAGAGAATATGAAACAATACCTATTCCCACCCCACTGTCCTGCTGGTAATAGCTTATCTAAAGTGATTTCCAGCACAAATCCAGGTTTTCTCACCCTCCACCCCCCCACACAAATTCACTCTCCTGCTGGTGATAGCCCATCCAAAGTGACAACTCTTTACACAATGTGCATGACAATCAAGCTGGGCTATTTCCTGCATAAATCCAGGTTCTCACATCCCCCCCACCCCCATACACACACAAACTCACTCTCCTGCTGGTAATAGCTCATCCAAACTGACCACTCTTCAAGTTAAAATCCAAGTTAAACCAGAACATCTGGGGGGGGGAGGGGTAGGAAAAAACAAGAGGAAACAGGCTACCTTGCATAATGACTTAGCCACTCCAAGTCTCTATTTAAGCCTAAATTAATAGTATCCAATTTGCAAATGAATTCCAATTCAGCAGTTTCTCGCTGGAGTCTGGATTTGAAGTTTTTTTGTTTTAAGATAGCGACCTTCATGTCTGTGATCGCGTGACCAGAGAGATTGAAGTGTTCTCCGACTGGTTTATGAATGTTATAATTCTTGACATCTGATTTGTGTCCATTTATTCTTTTACGTAGAGACTGTCCAGTTTGACCAATGTACATGGCAGAGGGGCATTGCTGGCACATGATGGCATATATCACATTGGTGGATGTGCAGGTGAACGAGCCTCTGATAGTGTGGCTGATGTTATTAGGCCCTGTGATGGTGTCCCCTGAATAGATATGTGGGCACAGTTGGCAACGGGCTTTGTTGCAAGGATAAGTTCCTGGGTTAGTGGTTCTGTTGTGTGGTATGTGGTTGTTGGTGAGTATTTGCTTCAGGTTGCGGGGCTGTCTGTAGGCAAGGACTGACAATAGAGAGTGTAATTAAACACTGGACTAAGTTACCAAGAGTTGTGGTGAATTTTCTCTCAATGGAAAATTTTAACTCAAGACTGGATATTTTTCTAAAGCCCCACCAAAAGGGAGCAAAGTCTAAGTAGCCCAGGAGAGCCCTGGGATGGGTTCCAATCCCTCTGAGAGGGGACCAAGCACCTGCAGCATACACATGCTCATATTTAGGACATCTTCATAGTCTGTGACTGGCATCTCAAGAGGGCAGAGTCTGGGAAGCTTGAAACGCACTAGGAGCTCCTCAGAAACCTGCTGCATCCATTCTGATTTATATGTTCACTGTCAACCACCTAGTTCTTCTCCTGGAAATCAATATCTAATGTACAATTATTTATCTAAGGTTCATTACTATCAAACAATTTCCAAGGGAATCTCCTTTCTCCTTTGAAGTTCAGGGATGATTTAGGCACCCAAATCCAGGTTTTTAAAGGTATTTAGGTGCCTAAAGGTACAGATAGCCACCTAATGTAATTTGCAAAAGCACCTAAGCAGGTTTGGTGCCTAAGTTCCACTGAAATTAACGAAAGTGCTTAAAATGCTTCAAATATTTCTTGTAAAAATGTGAGCAGACAAAAATGTAGGATCTAGCTGGTCTGCATGAAGTGAGAAAATCATGTTCTACCCAGGACTTGGTGGAATCATTGAAAATCTCACTTTTCCATTGTACTTCCATCACCTGTGGCAATGATTCAACATACAGTATGTTAAACCAAATCCCCACAAGGTATCCTAGATACATACCAGGTTTGATTCTTTGAGGTGCTGAGCGCCTGCAGAGAAGGTTTGCGGGCACTGGGCATCTCTGCACCCAGCTGAGCTTAGCACAGCGACTGAGTAGGGAGGAAGGTGGCTTTACAACACCTTTATGCCTCCTCTAACTTGGGACAAAGGCAGGAGCGGGGGGGAGGGCTGGACTCTCTCGCAGGGTAGAGTAGCCTCCAGACTGCCCAAAATGACACCCAGCTGCCTTGCGGTTGTTGCAGCAGTTGGGAACAAGAAGTTACATCATCTGTGCATTTCAAGCATTCTCTGTCGGAACTTTGTTCCCCTCACTCCCGCCCCCCACATTCTCCCATCTCAGGCAGGCTTTAGGCACCCAAATGCCAGAGAGAAACCGGCTTGTTCCCTGCATTTCCACCTGCCTAACTCAGACATATTTTCATTTTTCACTCTTTGTAGGCAGTTTAAAATACTCCCCCTTGCCAACCCCAGTCCCTCCTATACATACAACCTTTTCGGTGTCAGTTGCGTTTGGAGATCAAATCTGTGATATTTCTTCAGATGAAGCAGATATTTACAACTTCTGCACAGTCCTCCCAGCTTGTGGTATTACCCAAAAATGTCTGAAGTCTTCTGGTTTCTCTTTTTGACAGTAGTTTCGTATTAATAGTGGATGAAACTGTTGTGAAAATGAAAACGAACTACTCAGTGATTCAAATTTCTTTGTAACTAAATGCAGTGCGATGAGCCGCTGCCACTGACCAGGAAATACCTTTTGCTAAACGAAGAAGTCTGAATTTTACAGGAAGTGGGTTTGTGCTGAACGTATGAGAACATTCAGCCTGCATCCAAACTACCCTGTGTTTAAGGACAGAACAACATCAACCGCCATAAAGAAAGCCACACAAAGGTTATATGAACAGCATGCAACAGATCTAACCATTTAGACATGACAAATGCTGCATTTTGGCAGGGGGTTACGCTAGATGACCCTTGCGGTCCCTTCTAACCCTATGAGTTTGCAAATATGTGCCATTTTAAGTGAGTAAATAAATACAGGACTGTACCCAGGAAGATGTATGTGTGTGAGAAACAAAGAAAAATGCACAACCAGATTCATCAGAGATCTATACAATATTTGTGTGTGTATCTATCTATATAAAAACCTTTTGATGCTCTGACAAAAGTAGCGATCAGAAATCTTGGGCTGTGATATTTTTCTCTGATGACACATTGTAACCATTAACGATTAATAATAATCATATCTCTATATGTATTATTATTTTGGTAGCATGTGAAGGCTCCAGTTGAACCCCATCATTCTGAGTAGTGTTCAGACACAGAAAAGACATACTCCCTGCCCACAAGGGCTTACAGTATAAAGACACAAACAGAAATGAAGACTAGGGGATGGGATAAAACATACAAACAAAAGAATCTGGTGAAGAATTGGGATGTACTAAAAATGTGCCAGATTTCCCCATACAGAAAACATACAAACTGCAACATGTGGGAGGCATACGGTGCATCCTTTTAGGGAGGCAACATCAGTTTGTCACTATAATTTTGCAGATATTTCTAAACTATTTTATTGACAGAAAAAGAAAAAAAACCCAGGTGAATCCTAGTAGTTTTGGCAGAACAGCAGCATCCTGGAAGGACAATGTAAAAACTGGAGGGATCTGTGAAGCCGAAGTCTGCATTCAGACAGCTAAAGCCAAATTTTCAGAAGCAGAGGGGAGAATTCCATGTGCAAATAAACAGCGGCAGTTACGCAGGAATTACTGAGATTAGACATTAACCACATACACAACTAGATACCGAACCAAGGGTCTGTGCTCTCTGGGGTAAACTGGATCTACACACTGTGGCAATCATCTCTTTGTTTTTGTACAGCACCCAACGCAATTCAGTTGCCCACTCAGAATCATAGAATCATAGAATATCAGGGTTGGAAGGGACCTCAGGAAGTCATGTAGTCCAACCCCTGCTCAAACCTGGACCAATCCTCTGCTAAATCATCCCAGCCAGG